ACAGCCCTCTAAGGTGGATATTATCTCATTTTACATATGAGAGCAATTAAGGCCTAGAAAGATTAAGAGATTGGCCAAAGCCATATGGCCCTAGAACCATAAGCTGTGAAGTTAGACTTTTAACCCAAATCAGCGTAACTCTGCAGTCCACCCCAGGGTGCTGTCTCCAATAATAGTTGCTATTTATTGAACACATACTGTGTGCTACACACAGTGCTGAGTGTCTTATATAATAATCTCTCGTTTGTTTTTAATATGTGTTTTTTTAATTTTTATTTTTGGAGACAGAGTCTCTCTCTTTTGCCCAGGCTAGAGAGCAGTGGTGTGATCTCGGCTCGCTGCAACCTCTGTCTCCTGAGTTCAAGCGATTCTTCTGCCTCAGCCTCCTGAGTAGCTGTGACTACAGGCACCCACCACATGCCCAGCTAATTTTTGTATTTTCAGTAGAGACGGGGTTTCACCATATTAGCCAGGCTGGTCTTGAACTCCTGAACTCAGGTGATCCGCCCGCCTCAGCCTCCCAAAGTGCTGGGATTACAGGCGTGAGCCACTGTGCCCAGCCTCTAATTTTCTTGAGGTCTATGACCAATGCAGGCCTTTTCTGGACATGAGATATGGGACAGGCAGGCTTTGACATATGTGGATAAAAATGACCACGATATCTCCATGAATTAGCTTAAGGAGGTGAAATAAAGCTCCTCGAAGCAGAGGATCTTTGTAGGTTGGGGCAGTATGAGCAACGGCAGGGAATGGATATCAACAGGGGATAGGGTCAGTGTCCTTAAGCTGTCTAGGATTGAGGCAAGAGATTGCGACCAGATGGAAGGGAAGGAGGTGAGCTGGAGCCCCCAGGGCACAGGAACAAGCATGTGGTAAGTGTGAGCCCAGGGGCAGAGCCAGGCCTGCGGGGTGGAAATCACCCAGGGGCTTAGAGGGGAGAGAGCTTCTTGTCTCTTCAGTAGTTGTCTGTGGGTTGGGCAACCATCAGGAGCATTGTAGAGGGAATTTCTAATTTGGGGAGTGTTGACTTTTGGGGTGCTGACTTTCCAAATTGCAAATTTGATATGCCTCTCTTCTGCCTGGCAGCATCCCCCAGATTCCAGGTGCTACCAACACAGTCTGAGAGAGCTCCTCGTCCAGGAGGACAAGGCTCCCACAATCTGCCGCTGACTGGTCACATCCACATTTTGGCCCAGGAGCTGTGGCAGCCATGCTCCTCCCCTGCCGTTTTCTGAACACTTGGAGAATTTCACACTCTTGGGCCTATGCACACACTCTGCAAATCCTTTCACCTCTCTAGGCACTTGTTGCGTCTGCTGAGCTGTGATTACTCATCCACAGACTGTGCACCCCTTGAGAGCACGGCCTAGTTGGGGTCACCGTCATAACTAGATGTGACTGGAGTATGGACTATGTGTTTAATGAATGCAGTGGGGCTATGGGACATTGTATGATCTTTTGAACTCTTAAGATCCTGCTATTTCTTTTCAGTCGGTGTTAAATGCAGGGTCTACCAGGTACAATGGCACGGTGAGGGTGGAGACGTGCAAGTAACAACAGCATTCATGATGCAGAGACAGCCAGGGGCTGGGGCCAACAACCAGGATGTGGGGGCGGAGCAGAAGGTAGGGAGGGGGCCACCTAGTGACCATCAGGCATCTTGGTCCTCCTGTCTCATAACCCAAACTCCTGGAGAGAATGGGTAGGAAAAGGGGGACCAGAAAGCAATGGGGATGGGCATGGTGGAAATGAGCTTTGATTATTTCTCTCAGGATGTAGAATTAGGAGCCCCGTGCCCTCCAACCTTCACTAGGTATTTCCAAGGGAATGGGTATCCAGAGGCCAACGTCCAGCCCCTCTCCCACCCAGCTCCTTCCATCAGCACCACGAAGTCAGCGGGCCGTGTCAAGCAAGGAGGACCAGTCCACGAAAATACCTGCTTTTTAGCCTTGAGGGAGCCAAGAAAACGTCATCGGAGTCCAGACGCCACCAAGAAAGCCCACCACAGACGCCTCTGTGCCCTTCCCTCTTTGCCCGTCAGTAGAGGTGGCGGAGCTGCCCCTCTGGAAATTTGCTATGTGACATCAGCTAGTGTTGCCACCTCTTCCGACCCTGGGCCTCCCAGGCTCCTCGCTCTGCACCCACATTGTAAAAAAGGAGCCAGAAACTCAGGCCAGCCTAGTTTCTTACGGTGGCTGGAGAAACAGGGTGTGCAGCTTCGCTTCTTCTGTGTGTCCCCTCTTTGTTCCTGGGCTCCACACACAGCGGGAGGAAGGAAAAGGGAGTCCGTTCCAGGGAGGTGCTGGGGGAGGGCTCTTGTGGGAGCCTGGAAACCCTTTCTTGACTCTTGACCAAAGTTACTTTTCTTCCTATTTTTATTAACACAAATCCCTACGTGTGTTTGTGTCCAGAGAAAGTACTATGAATAACTGATGACACATTCGTTAACTTATGATTCATCCTGGGGGAGAGAGAGAGGGAGAAAGGAGCAGGAGCTTTGGAGGCTGAATATAAAGTGTTGTCAAATATTTAGCAAATGATCATCCAAGCCACAGGGAAAAAGTCAGAGATGGGAATTTGAAAGTTGCCAGGATTTAAAAGCCATTTAATGCTAACCATCAGTGCCAGAGAGCTGAGAGCATTTCTCTTCCTCCTTCCATTGGCAGCAACGGCTCCGATAATGTGGAAAGGCTTGGATGGGCTGCGGAGCGCTGGTGGGAACTGCGACCGGGCAGCGGGGCTGAAAGACTTTTTGTTCAAGAAAGCTTGTAAATAAGGGAGCGCCTCAGAGGTGGACTCTCTCTTGTCTACTGCCTGTACATTCTCTCTTTCAAGAGATCCCTGACCATCAGCTCTCTACACAGAAGACTAGCCAGTCATGTGGGTGTTTCAAAATATCCTGATGTTTGGCATCAAGGAAGAAAAAAAAGAGCCATATGACTGACTGAATTTGTCACTTTCCTTCCAAATGTTTTGATGTTACTTAGGCAACGGCTTCAGTCTTTGTCTATCTGTCATTCTAAAGGTTTGAACTCAGAAGGGCTCTCTCCTGAAGGGTTAGGAACCCTACATTTTTAGGGCTGGGGTCAGTACTCACTTCTATAACCTGATTCTTGGGAGATACAGTAATTTTTAAGCAAAAGATGAACAGGTCTTTCTTGATATTTTGGCTTGAAAGCCTCAAGTCTGCAGTTATGTCTCATGAGTGTAAATACCATAAGACAAGATAAATTAAGGAAGTGGCAGGGAAATTTAGGTCAGTGGAAATACGCGTCCCGCACAACAGAGGCCTCCAGACAGTTTGTTTACACCCATAAGCTTGTCCAACTTGCCTTATTTTGTTGTTGCTGTTTGGTTTGGTTTAGGCTTTTAGTAGCCTGAAGCCATGGTTTTTAATTTCTGTGCCTAGTGGTAAGTGGAAAAGAGGGATAGGGAAGAGGCTTTATTGGCCCAGTCAGAAACAGAAACTAAGAACCCATGACTGTATTCTCTCCCTTGGACACCCAGTAAGGCATTCTTCAAAGACATAGTATGATGAGTTCATGAGTAGCCAATGCAAGTGAATTCAGTGGATTGAATCAACAAATCTATTCATTGTGCCAAGAATGAACAGATTGTCCTGCCTTCAGGAAACTTAGAATCTATTTGCTTGGGAGGCAAGCATTCCATTAATGATGCGGATAGTTAGCCTCTGAGTTCAGAAAAGTAAGAGATCTCTGGACAGAGTGGTCCCAAGGAGGAGGACAGGAAGGAGGACAGGAAGGAATAACCACAGCAAAACTGCCCTGCAGAAGAAAACAGAAAAGTAGCTCTTCTCCCTCAGTTTTTTTTTTTTCTTTCATTGTGTTCCTGTTATTTTGCTTCTCTGGAATGTCTTTTCTCCTCCTCTCTACCTGTTCCAGTCCAACACTTCCCTGAGGCCCTCTTCAGCAAATCCACAGATTCAGTCTCTAGGATTCCAATCTTCATTCATCTTACTTCCTACAAACTCTTACTATTCACCTGGCATGGGATTTAATCTGTGCATTTGAATCCGTAGGAAAAAAAGATGAATCTTTTCTCTTTAGTTTATAATAGGTAACTTCTTTGTGGCAGTGTCAAATCTTTTTTATCTGTTTTACAGACAGGGTCTCACTCTGTGGCCCAGGCTGGAATACAGTGGCATTATCATAGCTCACTGCAGCTTCAACTCCCGGCTCAAGCAATCCTCCCTCGCCTCAGCTTGCGAGTAGCTGGGACTACAGGTGTGTGCCACCACACATGGGTAATATTTAAAACTGTTGTAGAGATGGGGTCTCGAACAGGAGACCAGCTCAATTGATCCATCCACCTTGGCCTCCTAAAGTGTGGGGATTAAAGACTTGAGACACCATGCCTGGCCCAGATACCAAATTTTAAAACAGTTCTGTGTTCCCCAGAGTTTCTAGCAGTGCTCAGTTGCTGGCCACTGGCTCTGTGGGTGCACAGTGGCATTGATTAGCAGGTAGTATATGAATAGGCTGCTGGTGGTGAGTGAAAATCTCGGTTAGGATTGTGGAAGAAGACTGAATTCTGGGTAAGCCCAGGGATATACTGCATATCAGCATATCCAGGCTACAAAACACATGCTGTGAGCCGTCTGATTCTGAAGTTCCCCTTCCCTTCTTAGTTCTGATTGTTAAAGCAGATGTAGAGTTCCAAAAAGTTGTAAATTGAGTAAACAATTAATTTACTGAGAATGGAAGTATATCAGCAGTTCCACTCACATATTTTAAAATGTCTAAGAAGGAAAAGAAAAATAAAGGAAGAAGGAAAGGAAGGAAGGAAGGGAGGAAGGGTGCAAGGTAGGGAGGGAGGAAGGGAGGGAGGGAGGAAGGGAGGGAGGGAGAAAGGGAGGGAGAAAGGGAGGGAGGAAGGGAGGGAGGGAGGAAGGGAGGGAGGGAGCGAGGGAAGAAGGAAAAGAGGGAAAAAAGAAAGCCCAGGGGCTAGGGTGGGAAACACACAAGACTCAGTAAATGAAATACTACCAGCAATTTCATAATATGGTAATTTTTAATATTAAAAGTAAATTGTAAATGTGTCTTTATAAACAATATGCATAAAATAGATCATATTCTAAAACCGTTTCTTTTTAAAATGCTTTTTCACAGTAAATTTCTTAGGTGTCAGATTTTCCCTCAGAATAGTGCAACTGGAAGAAGGGAAATGTTGGCAGCGGCTCAGGACTCTCTGCTAGTACAAGTCCTTGTAGATCTCCTGCAGGAGCGGGTGAAGACTCATGTCTGTCTCCGTCTTCTTGATCACCTGCAGTAGCTGCACGTGTTCCGTGACAATCTGTCTGAGGTCTGTCATTTTCTGGAGCAGCTTGGCAAACAGCTGCGAGGACTCAGGGTGGTTCAGCTTCAGCTGGAGCTCCAGGGCTTGTAGCAGGTTGTCTTGAATGTCTTCAATGGGCTTCACATTCAGCAAACCTGGGCGATCTGGGGAAGCACAAATGGAAAACACAACACGGGGTTCAGTCAAAAAATCCTCTGGGCCCCGCCTCGGAGGCCTAGGGAGCTCTACCAAGCAACTTATCCGTGGTTTTGGTTTGTTTTGCTTTGTATCTTAAATAGGTGGGGAGCAAGGGTAAGCAGATAATGGGTGAGAACTGAGGATGTAATCAGAACCAAAATAATCAGAGGTCTTTGCAGGGGCTTTTTCTGGCCAGGATGGAATCTGTGTGGTCAGCTGATGGAGCATGGCATCAAAACAATTTCATTCCCCAAATGAAGTTTCCTCTGCTAACATGTTTCTACTCAGAAATTTCTTTTTTCCTTTTTTTTTTTTTTTTTTGAGATGGAGTCTTGCTCTGTCATCCAGGCTGGAGTGCAGTGGCACGACCTCAGCTCACTACAACCTATGCCTCCCGGGATCAAGCTATTCTCCTGCCTCAGCCTCCTGAGTAGCTGGGATGATAGGCGCTCACCACCACACCTTTCTAAATTTTTGTATTTTTAGTAGAGATAGGGTTTCACCATGTTGGCCACGCTTGTCTCAAACTCCTGACCTCAAGTGATCCACCCGCCTTGGCCTCCCAAAGTGCTGGGATTACAGGCATGAGCCACCACGCCCAGCCAGAAATCTCCTTTTCAACTTCTGCTCCTTCCTGATGAATCCATGTTTTATAGCTTCTACTCAGTTTCTTATCATAGCTTCAAATATGCTCTTTTCACAAATATGCTTTTAAAAAAAGGCTTGTCTTTTTGCTTGATTTGCTTATGCTGTGTTTGCTTAATATGGTGTATTTCCAAACGACAAAACACAGTTTTAAAATACTCATACATTTTAACAGAGGTTTCTTTTGAGTGGCAAGATTGTAAGCAATTTTCACTAGTTCTTCTTTAGATTTTTTCTTTAGTTCAATTTGCAAATGGTGAACTTAAATACCTTTTAAATATTTTACTTTTTCCTTTATGTAGATCTTGTTAGATTTATTCTCAAATACTTTATAGCTTCTATTGTGAATGGACCCTTCATTTTCATTACATCTAATATATCCCTGCTGATGTGTAGAAAACTAATTGATTTTAGTGTATTGAAACGATTCCAATTTTCTGAACTTTTGTCAGATCAAATAGCTTTTAATCATGGATTTTTACTTTTTTTGGATAGATACTTGTATCAGCAATGGTAGCTTTATTTATTTCTTCTTTTGCATCATTAACCTTTCTCATTTCCTCTTCTTGCCATAGTGTGTTGGCTAAAACCTCCAATATGGGATTAAATAATAGCAGCAATTCTTGTTTTATTCCTAACTTTGAAGGAAATGCTTCTAATGGTTTATCAGCAACTATGATGTTTGCTATAGATTATGGAGGACATGTTTTACTCCTGGCTTATCCAGGGGTTTAAAAATTTTAATTTGTTTTAGTCAGGAATGTTGTTGAATTTTTATCAAATGCTTTTACATTTCTCTATCTAAAGAGCTATGATATCTTGAAGAGTTATGGTTTTATCTTAACCTAGCACAGTGAATTACATTAACAGAGTTCCTTATACCCTTGTAGTCACTTGCTAATATTTTATTATAGGGTTTTTGTACTTGTAGGTGATACTGGTTTAGAATTATTTTGGGGGCCATTCTTTGCCTGTTTTAGTAACAATGTTAACTAGCCTTATACACTGAGTTGAGAAGTTTGCCTTCTGTGTCGACATAGTAATGATCTATTCCCTGACGGTTTCTTAGAATTTGTTTGCAGAACCATCTGAGCTTAATGATAAATCTATCATTATCTTTAATTTTTCTTCTATAGTTTTTATCTATTCAGGCTTTCTACTACTTATATGGTAAAGTTTTAGTAATTTATACTGGAATAAAGTTGTAGATGATATTGTCTTAGAATATGAAATGTATTTATTCATGCCCCTTAACTTAATCTTAACTTAATGCTTTTTCTTTTCTTTTTTTTGAGACAGAGTCTTAATCTGTTGCCCAGTGCAGTGGCATAATCATGGCTCACTGCAGCCTCCAACTCCTGGGTTCAGGTGATCCTCCTGCTTTAGCCTCCCAAGTAGCTGGGACTATAGGCATGAGCCACTACACCCAACTAATTTCTAATTTTTTTGTAGAGGTGGGGTCTTGCTACATAGCCCAGACTGGTCTTGAACTTCTGGCCTCAACCAATCCTCCTGCCTCAGCCTCCCAAAGTGCTGGGAACATAGGTATGAGCCACTGTGCCCAGCTCTTAGAGCTCTTTATTTGTGCATTCTCTCATTAAAAAAATCTGATTTGGCCGGAGAATGGCAGGAACCTGGGAGGCGGAGCTTGCAGTGAGCTGAGATCTGGCCACTGCACTCCAGCCTGGGCGACAGAGTAAGACTCCGTCTAAAAAAAAAAAAAAAAAAAATCTGATTTGTCAAAGGTTTATCTAGTTTTTGCTTTTTTAAAAAAACATAACTTTTGGTTTATTAATCAAGTCTGTTTTTAAACATTTTGTGTTTTGTTTTTAATTTATTGAATTCCTTTTTAAAACTTTCTTTAGGTTTACTTTCTTCTCTTTTTCTAGTTGTTTTGAGTTGAATGCTTAATTCATTTGGTTTGGTATTCCTTGTTTTCTAATAAATGCATTGAACCCTCCACATGTTCTTCTTAGTGCCACTTTGGTTTCATCCCATGGGCTTTGATCAATGGTACTCTCATAGTTCTTTTCTACACAGCTTGTCTTACAATTTTGATTTCATTTTTAACCTAAGAGTTATACAGAAGTATGTTTTTAAATTTCCAAGTAAAAAGTTTGGGTTTCAGTGTTTGTTTTCTCATCTCTAAGTTTTATTTTCTAATTTCCAGTTTGTTGCCTTGGGTTAGATTATAAGGTTTTCTCAGTAAGGCTCACCAAGAAGACAGGATATTCACTTGATCATCTATCTCGTATTGATTTCAAATTTGAGCTCTTGAAGGCTATTTATTTTCTTTTAAAAATTGTAACTCTTCTCTCCTTCATGGTATGAGTTTTACCCACCTTTAATATCCTTCATGACCTGGTCCTGGTCATCCTCTAGCCTCAGTTCTGTTTCATTTTGCTCCACGTTAAGCCATATTAATCTATTTCCATGCCAGGTTCCTCAAACACCCTATGTTCTGTCAGGACTCTGCACTTATTCAGATTTTATTCCTCCTGCCTGAAATGTTCTCACCTTCCCTTCACTCTTCTTATTGACTTCAACCATTTCTTCAAAATACAGACTGTGGTGGGATTTCATCCTGAAATCCTTCCTCAACAGTATCCCTTCCTCTCTCCTGTTCTTCTCATCTCCTTTCTCTGGGTCCCACAGCACCTTATAAACACCTCAATCACAGCTATACTAGTAGATTACATTCACTGAATGGTTATTATTTTCCAAAGATCATGCCAAGGGCCTTATATACAATATGCCATTTAATCTTCACAATAACCCCACGAGGTCATACTTTACAGAGGGAGAAATTAAGACTTAGAGAAAAAAGTTGCATCTTACCAAGATAGGCCACTTGCTAGTAAATGCAGAACTGATATTTGGATCTAAGTCTGTCTGGTTCCAAAGGTTCTGTTCTTATTCCTTATTATCTTGTATTGTAAGTTCTGACTTTCTTGTTTCTCCCCCATTAGACCATGAGGTAATAGAGGGCACAGACTGTGTTCTGATCGTTTCTGAACCACCAGTGGAAACACAGGAAGCATTTGGTCGACTGAGTTAATGAGTGAGAAGGCTGTTCTGGCCAAGAGCCCTGGATCGAAAAGCACAATTCTCTCGGCTGGTGAACAGGCCCGAAGGCAGAATCCCTACACAATGAAGAAGTCTCCTGTAAACTATGTTTTCCTGTGTCTAATAAACTCTAGTAACCTTTATCCATTGAGATGAGGCTCAAGAGAACAATGTGAGATGGCAGAGTGGTCTCAGAGTGGGATTTTCAGAACTCTAAATATTCTTCTAAGTTAACTTTCATATTTTTTTTTCCATTAAAGAAGGAAATTGGTCTTTAGTTTGATTTTTTTCCCTCTCAGGTCTCCAACATATCCCATTGACCAGAATAAGTATAAGTTTCTTTTTTAGATTTCAGCATTCAATCCTGGAACCATCAGCAAAAAATCTCAGATTCTGAGAAGGAACAAATGATCTGGTCCTGGCCTGGATAATTGGGCCCCTGGGAGCATGGGGCCTTCCTCACCGTTGCTATATGGGAATGAAAAAGCCACTGATGCTTCACTGAAAGCTGGGCCCTAGACTGGCACCTTGGTTTAATGACTACGGATCCTCCGGCTTGATAAATGCATGCATCTCAAAGGCCAGAGGCAGAGGTGTGTCTAAAGACAGGTGCCGAGAGAGGCCCTCCTCGGCCTGGGGTAGGCCTCTGCTAACTAGACACTGGCTCCTGAAACCTTTCTGCCGCTCCTCCTTCCTCCACCTGCTCCTTCTCTCTTTTTTTTTTTTTTTGGTAGAGACAGAATCTCTACATTGCCCAGGCTGCTCTTGCATGCTGGGCTCAAGAGATTTGTCCTCCTTGGCCCCGCAAAGTGCTGGGATGACAAGCGGGAGCCACTGCTCCCAGCCTCCTCCTTCCTCTTGAGCAGCACCACTGGGGTCAGCCCTTGGGCTGAGGAGATGATGTTAATCTACTAGGTTCCGTTTATCAAACCAAGCCCTAACATGCAACTGATCAGGGCTTGCTGGAAACACTTGGCTCCGATGCAGTGTCATGGAACTGGCCTCTCTAGGAGTGGAGAGGGATCTGGTTTGGATTTTCAAACCCCTCTTTGGCAAGTTATTCTTTATGATGTGATGGATGAAGCTTGGCTGAATTGCTGAAATTTTGTGGCCATGGAGTAAGTATATTTTCTGCAATGATAAGTTAGATCATTTACAGATCAGTCCCATTGTCCCCCTGACTGAGCCTCCGTTAAGGCAAGATGGTTTAGGGAAGGAGGGCAGCAGAGAAAAGTTGTATATTTTACATCTAAGG